TTTGGCCTGGCCCCTGTCTGGGGTAACCCCCAGCAGCCTGGGAGTGAGGGGTGCCAACAGAATGAATCAGTTTTCACCTGTAGCGGAAGCTGCTGGCGCCCTGCAGATTCCCTGTACCACGGGCGCCTATGGTGCTATTCCATCTCCCAGGTGCTATGTTAGTTAGGGCATCACTGCACCTTGTCTGAAGAATTGTCCTGAGTTGAATGGAAGCCACTTTACCTGGGAGGCAACGCCCCCTCCCAACCCCTTCCCTAGTCCTTGGCTCACAACAGACTGGCCTGGCCTGGCCTCGGGGAGGGACTAACCTGTTGAAGAGTTTGTGTAGCGTTTGGGTTCCAGACTGAAGCTAAGCTCTTCCTAAGACGATGCTCTCACTTCTTACCCCCACCCTATGCTGCTTCCCTTCCTCCCCTCGCTGCCCTTCGGAAATAATAGGAAAGAGCCATCTCTGAGCCACGTCAGTTCTGGGGTCACAGGTCAGTGTCCGACGGGTTCTCAAGTAAATCACTTGGACAAAAATCCTCATCTCTGCTAAGGAATCTGCATAAGATGAATCAGGCACCCTGCTGTGTAGACTGTCACTGGGCAGAAATTTCACTGGGTCTCCTCTTTTATCAGGGCAAAATGGATGTTCTCGGACAAGTTGGAGTCGGACTTAGTATTCAGGTTATGTGGCTGGTTGCCCAGTAAATCAGCCCCTGCAGAATTTGTGCTGGGTCTTAGGAGGTCGTATCCACGATGTCATGGAGTCTGACCCGAGAACACAATTCATAGCCACCGGCTCTAAGGGTGGGCTCAGAATCCATCCTGCCTGCCAAGCAGCAGGTGAAGTGGAAACATGGGGTGGACACCTCAAGTGACAGTCGCCTACAGTCTACCTCAGCCTGTTCATCTTCTCAATAGTTGCTCCATCTATGATGCTGGCTTCCCCATTACACACCTCCATGGAGGGCAGGTGGGGGACATGGTGACCAGTACCTATCTCACTGATTATTAGAAGGGTTAATTGAGATACTGCAGGGAAAGTTCTTAGCACAGCCTGGCACATACCAAGCTCTCCGGCGTGAAGCTGTCAGCTGGTGCCATGGTTGTTACCGTCTCCTGGAACCACAGGCTCCATCTGAGGGCCCACTCGCACACTGCTCTTCTCCGGGCCAGGAGACCCCGGGGCTTGTCCTTTCGCTCAGATGAGGTGGCTAACCAGCATCTCTACTCCATCCCTGGAAGTGGTCTCATCCTCTGGGAAATAGCACTGCCTCCTGACCCACAAGCTGGCCACTGTTTAGCTCCCGTGTTGGGTCATGTTCTCCACAAACCGCCACTGTCATGGAGCTGAAGGGAATTGGATACAACCTTTGGAATAGTGACACTTGATTCTACAGGCATGGCGAAATGGAAAGGAGTGGTTCAATGGAAAGGAGTGGTTCAGAATGAGCCATGGTGTATGATTGTCATACACCAAGTGTTCCACACAGGAGGAACACTTGGCCCTAGTCTGAGGACAGGCAGAGATGAGGCCAAGCCTTTCGTCTTTGGCACAGTGTTACCAGTGGAATTCCCCCTGCTTGGAAGGAGCCAAGATATGCCTGGAAAGTTTCGTTTTTCCTAACAATTTTGTTTACTTTGTGATGCCTCCCTTGTCAGCCCTTCCCTATGGACACTTCCGGTCTGTGGTAAATTTATTTTGCCAGCTCCTCCCAGGGAGGCCTGAAGTCCTCTTCATGCAAACTCTTGTAAAAAATTTCTGGCTTTGCTGTAAGGCTCAGTGGGTGCCCCACCAGACCACTTCTCTGACAGGGAGAGAAGACGGAGCAATCAAGGAATTATTTTTGCCTGTATAAATAACCAGCTTATCAGCTGGACTCAATGTCAAATTCTGAGCCAACAAGGCAATGGAAATCCAAATTAATAGCCCTACAGCCCTTCCCAGAGGCTGGAGGAAAATGGTGCACCTCAGATAGAGGATGTGGCCTAAAAGCCATAAATGATATATTTGAACCTAAAGGGATGATGTGCATTAAGAACTACTTTGGTTTGTAGAACATCCTAACCTGGATCCAACTGAAAACAAAACATCTCAATCTCTTATGATATAAAAAGCTAATGAAATGGAGAAGAAAGAAGGATAGAAAGTGAAATAACAAAGGGAATATTCTTCACAAAATAGTAACCAGTTAAATATTTGGAAACAGTGATCTCCTACCTGCTTGGGGAAAATCCCTCTGCCTGGTGGCCTTGGGCCCTCTTGGATGTGGGACCAGGTGTCCTTATGTCCTTTTGTCACCAGCCCTTTCTTCCTTCCTTCCTTCCTTCCTTCCTTCCTTCCTTCCTTCCTTTCTTCCTTCCTTCCTTCCTTCCTTCCTTCCTTCCTTCCTTCCTTCCTTCCTTCCTTCCTTTTCTTTCTTCCTTCCCTTCCCAGAGGGAGAGAGAGATAGAAACATCAATGATAAGAGAGACTCATTGATTGGCTGCCTCCTGCATGCCCCACACTGGGGATTAAGCCCACACCTGGGCATATGCCCTGACCAGGAATCAAACCATGACCTCCTGGTCATAGGTCAACGTTCAACCACTGACCCAGGTTGGCTGGGCACCAGCCCTTTCTTGTTGGCTGAGAACGAGATGAGCCCCAGACCCATTCTTTCATTTTGTATTAGATAATGGCCCTTTGTGCCCATCTGTTCTCTGTGAACAGAGTCAAGGGGTGGACTATATCGGGACACTTGGATAGTCATGCCAAGTGGCCATTGCAGGGGTGTTTGACCTTTTAGGTATTGGAGAGAATGACAAGGTCATACTCCTGCAACTTTTTGTTCAGTGCTTGGACACATGAATCAATACAATGAAAGAGACCTCACCTGTGAAGAGCCACGACATGAGTGTGGGCAAGATTGTGAGAAGAAAATAGATTGTTGAACACTCTTTCCCGATGATGGTTGCCTCTTACAGCCCTGAATGTTTCACTCACCACTTATAAAAATATCCTCTTTATTGTATCAAAGCCTGGCAAGGAGAAGGGTTTCTTTCCTGTGTCTTGGCCAAGAATTCCCCAGAAACAGAAGGTGGCCCCAAAGAACTAAACCCAGAAACAGGCAAGTGGTTGCCTCTAAAGGGTGGGACAAGCATGGGCGAGGTGGAGCAGCCTCTTCATTATAAATCCAAGCACTGTTTTGTTTTGGTTGGAAAGGAAATATATATGTATATTTATTCCTTGTCTTCCTCTGCCTGGCTCTGGCTCAGGCCCAGGCCTCACTCTACCATCTAGTGGGTGGGATAGGCCTCAGAGCTAAACATCTCAGGAACAGCCTCCTCAGGAAACAGGCCGCAGGGGGCAAGTGATGCACTGTATGCTGAGGTCACCCAGCTGGATGGGGCAGAGCCAGGACCCCTGCAGTCCCCCAGCTCTCCGTCTTTCCCTGGTGGCCTCAACTCAACCCACCCAGCCTCCTGACTGCCCAGCCTGTGGCTTTCAGCTGAATGCCACCTGAAAAGAGATCTGGTGCCTGACCTCAGTAGCTCAGTGGTTGAGCGTCGACCTATGAACCAGGAGGTCACGGGTCAATTCCTGGTCAGGGCACATGCCAGGGTTGCGGCCTCGATCCCCAGTGTGGTGCGTGCAGGAGGCAGCTGATCAATGATTCTCTCTCATCATTGATGTTTCTATCTCTCCCTCTCCCTTCCTCTCTGAAATCAATAAAAATATATTTAAAAAATAAAAAAGAGCATCTGGTTTCTGGGGGCCAGGTCACTACGGTCACTCCTCCTTGAGTGGGGGCAGCAGAGGAGAAGCACAGGGTCTCCTGGCCTGGAGGAGGAGAAGATGCCAAGACAGCTCTCAGGTGGGACTGTGGCAGTGATGACACCTGCCAGCCTGAGGGTGCCAGGCTGTCTGCCAAACACCCACCCAAATTAGCTCACTTAACCCTCATGAATATTTATTTAAGAGGCAGGTACTATTACCCACCCCCACTGTGTTACAGATGAGGAAACAGGCTGCCTTTGAGAGACAGGAATGAATCTAGACCTTTAAGCTCCAAGCTCAGGGTTTTATCTCATGACACACAGCCCATTAAGTCCTTGCTTTGGAGATTAGGGCACATGAAAAGGTCAAGATACCTGGCCGGTGTGGCTAAGTGGTTGAACGTTGACCTATGAACCAGGAAATCATAGTTTGATTCCAGGCCAGGGCAACGTTTCTGGGTTTGGGGGGCTGGATCCCCAGTGTGGGATGTGCAGGAGGCAGTGGATCAATGATTCTCTCTCATCATTGATGTTTCTATCTCTCTCTCCCTCTCCCTTCCTCTCTCAAATCAATAAAAAAATATTTTTACAAAAGAGGTCAAGGTCGTAAGCTGCAATATAGGGAATGCTTTGAAACAAGCTTGGCTGCTTCTGGATGTGTTGTGCTTCCAGGCTTTCGTCTGTCTGGACACCAAGAGAGGAGGGGAGAGGACAGGGAGGAAGGGAGGGAAGGGGGAGAGGTTAGAAGGGGACCGAGGCAGAGAAGCAGGTTCAGACCCCTCTGCCTTGACTGCAGACTTACTTGATGAGGCCCCTGTGAGGGTAGCTCCGCCCACCCTTGTGGAGGTTGCACACAGAGGCAGGTGCCCCGCTCAGGATACACCAGGTGACGGCACGGGCACTGAGTTTACCGTTGTTGACCTGAAACAAATAGGCAGCCAGATATTTCTCTAGCAAAACGGGTTTATTTGGGAAAAAACAAAGAATTGCCATTCAGGACAATTGCTGCCTAGCCTAATAGCAAACCATTCGAAGTTCCAACAAAGGGAGGAAATTCTTTCGTAGAAGAGGAATTCTGGAAAGCTAAGATAAACAAAGACGTCTTCCTGCTGGGCTACAGGAACCCACGTCCCTTTAAATGAGGTTCCTGTTTATTACTTTTTATAGAATCAAGGCAGCACATTGGCTCCCCCACAGAGTGGGCAGGGCAAAGTGTGGATTTGTGCCCAGAAAAGCAAGTTGCAAAAAAGCTGGTATAGTCTGAGCCCCTTTTGTAAAATGAATAACATTTCGTAGTATTCACTTAAGAAAAAGGTCTGGACAGAAAATGCCACAAACTCTGTGGTGGTCATCTCTGAAAGTTTCACATTAGGGGAATTTGTAGCTTCCTTTGTGGTGGGAAGCCCAACCTACGTCAAATCTGAACTCTGCCCCGGAATTCCCCTTAAAATGAGAACGCAGGCTAAAGTGAAAGCAGGTTGCACACAGCCTGTCTTCACAGAAAAACACGCTGCCGCCTGCCCCGGAGAGTGGCTTGTTTACTACAGATACGTGAGTAGGAAGAGGACCCTGCCTCCCTCCGTGCGGCTGTGTGTCTGTGTCTGTGTGTGCATGAGTAGCTGGGCTTCCCCAGGCTCCACGTGTGGGTGCCCTTCCACAGCTGTTGCTGCTCTTGTGTGCACACCCCTAGGTCTGTGAGCTTAACCGGGCTGCTGTTTGGATAGTGTAGGTTGCCACCCAAGGGGAAGAAAAAAAGAGGGAAGATATGGGGAGATATGGGGTCTCAGGGCTCTTACAGGTGAGTTTAAGCCTATGAACTGAGCTTCAGTTAAAAAAGAAAGAGAGAGAGAGAGAGAGAGAGAGAGAGAGAGAGAGAGAAGAGAGAGAGAGAGAAAGGAAAGAAAGAAAGAAAGAAAGAAAGAAAGAAAGAAAGAAAGAAAGAAAGAAAGAAAAGAAAGAAAAGAAAGAAAAGAAAGAAAAGAAAGAAAAGAAAGAAAAGGAAGAAAAGGAAGAAAGGAAGGAAGGAAAAGGACAATATTGGCTCTTGTAATCGAAAGATCAGACAGTGGCCGAAAACCAGGACTACAGGCTTTATTAGAGGAGAAGGACCTGCCGGGCTGTCTGGCAAGGGGAGGACAGCAACTCGTGCAGAGGTGAGCATGCCTTTTGAGGGGCAGAAAGGGAAGGAATGGGGGCTTAGTATACTCGGCGCATGCTGATTGGTGGCTTAATGTATGTTCCATATAGGAACAAGGGCTTAGGGTATTTGGCAGGTGTTGATTGGTGGTTCAATGTATCGTCCATATAAGGTACTTGGTTAGTCGCTCAGGTATTTCCAGGCTGCAGGTTAAATCATACTCCGCCCACCATTTGGGGGAAGGGAGGATCTATCAGTAATTGCAAAGTCCCTCTGGGGTAGGGCTGATTTCAAGTACAGTTGGGTACAAGGACTAGAATGAAGTCTTCAGGACATTGTGTCTCCACCTTTTAGAGGTGGGACAGTACAATACAATGAAAGTATCACTTAATGGCAATGGTGTGTTTTTTTATATATAATGTATTTTTATAGATTTCAGAGAGGCAGGGAGAGGGAGAGGGAGAGAGAGAGATGGAAACATCAATGATGAGAGAGAATGATTGACTGGCTGCCTCCTGCACGCCCCACACTGGGGATCGAGCCTGCAACCTGGGCATGTGCTCTTGACCAGGAATCGAACCGTAACCTTCTGGTTCATAGGTCTATGCTCAACCACTGAGCCACTTGGCTCCAGCTGGGCAATGGCAATGGTTTTAACCTATTGTGGGGAGCGTTGAAAGCTAGGGCCTCTCTTCACAAAAATACCTATATCAGGTACACCTACGTGCTACGCAGAATTCCTTCCTTCTCTTCCCTGTGCAGGGGGGCAGACTTTCTTGGCTTCTGCCTGGACTTGGGGTTTCTGAGAACTTGCCTCTCACAGGTTCAGAAGTGAGCACAGGAAGGGATGCCTTCCTCTGTCCTTGGGGAGTCATGGCCATGGCCCCCAGCCATGATGAGGGTTGAGTTCTGGGATGGTAGCAGCTATGCTAGTTGTCTAGTCCCCCCTGCCAGCCCTCTCCCTTCCCCCCCACCTCCCTTCCTCAGGCCCCTCCCCAGGTCCTGCCTGGCCTTCCCCCTTTCAGCTTTGGGCCTCACTCTGTCTTTCAGCTGGAAGGTCTGGCACATGGAGGACGACACAACAAGATCCAAAGAGTCCGTCTCTCTCGCAGCCGTGGCCAACATGGGGGATGAGCTGGTCTGTCCCCTTCCGCAGTCCCATTTTGGTCCCCTAGTGGGAAGGGCCTTTGTTCACCATCTTCCTTCATTTCCTCCCCACCCCTCACCTCGTTACTTCAACAATTAGGATCCCCACGCCCCCCCCCCCCACTCCCCTGTGTGCTGGCCTCCTCAGTGCAGAGGAGCCCCTTACTTCACTTCTTTAACACGTGTGTGCCCACCACGTGCCAGTAGGGCCTGCCCTAGTCTGAAAGGTCAGGAAGGTCTCAACAAGGAGGAGCCGTCAGGTTGGGATTTAAAGGATGAGAAAGAGAAAGCACGTGGGGGTGGGAGTGGCGTGGGGGTGAGGGTCCCTGGGGAAGTCTCAGCCTTTGAGGAGCTGGCAGGCTTGTCCTTGCTGGGAAATGGCCAGGTTGGGGCCCACCACCCAGAACTCTGGAGCCTAAAATGACACCCTCTTCCCTCCCCTAGTTCCCTCCCCTTCACCACACTGCACAACCCAGGGTGCACCTTTCACATCGTAATTTGCAAGAGTAACCCCCCTACATGTCAGAACCCAACTCCACAGACTGTGAGGTTATTGGTGTCCTGGGGCTGCGCGACCAGGAGGACCAGCCACAGCTCAGGCACAGCTGAGTGTCCCTCCCTAGCACAGAGCCCAGCACACAGTAGGTGCTCAATGCATGCTCTGCAGAATTTCCGTTGCCCTCTAATGACTTCCTGTGCAAAAGCCCAGCCCCCACCCCAGCCCACTCCTGGTGGCAGCCAGGGCCTCTCCCCTTCTGGGCCCCCAGCTCCAGTTCTCACTTGGGGTGGCAGAGACACTGTGGTCACTCTCTGGTGGCTTTAGGAGGAAGGCCGGACCCCGGGCAGCGACTTGAACCATGCGGAGGACCGGAACGATTTGAACGAAGCCACCCAGGAGCCCCTCTCAGGAAGGTAGGTGGTCTCCAGGAGGGGACGCAGGCCGGGTAGGGGAGGAGGCCACCACGGGGAGCAGGGGTGGGGAGCAGGGGTGGGAGCATGCACTCTGCCAGGTAGAAAAGAAACCAGAAACAGGAAATTAAAGAAATTGTCTCGAATACGATATTAATATAACTTGGCTTGTTTAGGCAAGCCTGATATCTGGGAAGTTTGCTTAATTCCTATTTACTGCTCTTTTTTTTGTATATATGATGGAAGCAAACTACATGATTATTAAGGGCAACACAATCAACAATATGGTTTTGTGCTATGAATAACTGTTCTTCTTACAGTAAGAGAAAGTATAAATCCCTGCTGTCATTTGAATCTGTGTTTTCACTGGGATA